CGGTGTTTGTCGTGTGCCCGGCACATGGTGACACTCCATAGATGGAGCTTGCGCTGCTGCTGCTGCGGTTGGAAGGCATCTGTCTTGTCAACCATTCTGGATCTCTAGGACTTCAACTTGGAGACAAGGTGCTCTTCCCTGAAGCGAGCACCGTCTTTGTTCCTCTGACACCTGAGGGAAAGCTCAGGGGGGAGTCAGCATTTTTGAGGTCTCCTCTCCATGTCCAGTAGTCTGGGCCCCTGTCACCACCTCTAATTGGGATGGGGTGTGGTCCCTGGAGCTCCCAGGTATGCATCGACCTGTGTCCTGTGCACATGTGGCACTCCAAACTTTAAATTACTTGTGGGATTAGCAGGGCCCTGGAGTAACTAAGGTGTCAGGGGCCCCTTGGAGTCCACGCTGCGGCTTGAGAATTCCTTCGGCTGCTGGGGAAAACCAACCTTCGGGATTTCTAGGCCTCAGGCCAGGATGCCAGATCCTCTTCATGAAGAGTCTGGAGCTGGGACACCAGCACAGCTGAAAGGAATGAAGTGTGAGAAACACCACCAGAGGCTAAAGTCCCCACACGATTTAGGAGGAAAAAGAAGAAAGAGGGTCTCCCAGGTAAGGCAGGGGCGTGTCGGGGGTCTTTCTCTGGCACAGTGTCTGGCCGGAGGCTCACGGAGGAACTGAGAATTGCGTGTGGGATCAGAAGACTCAGAAGCGGCCATCGCACAGGAAGCAGATGGGGAGAGCTGGGCTGGGGCGGTGGCAGAGATGGGGCCGTGCCTCTTGCAGGACGTTTCCCTCAGATGCGCTTTCCTCCTCGCCCGCCTCTGCTCCCAGAAACCTCCCAGCTGCCACTGGTCCTAAACAGCTGCTTCTGGCGCAGAGACGAGCTGCTGGGCTCCCAGTGCCCTCCAGGGACCCCTTGAACCAAGTCCCCTCCCTGTCCTTGCTGCTCTGTCCCCACACAAGCCGCAAGGGAGGCTGGCAGGGCTTCCATCCCACTCCACAGGTGAGGAAGGGAGGCTGAGAGGAAAAGCGGACTCCCTCAGGGTCAGGGGGCGAGAGGCAGGTGGGCCGGCACCAGCCCTGTCTCTAAGGCCACTCTGCGGCTAGCGTTTTCCGTGTCTCTCACCCTCCTCTGAGAAATGTTGAGATTTTTTCTGAATACAAAACAACTCGTACCATGGTATTCAGAGAAAATTTGGGAAGTACTGAAGAGACACCGAGGAATGCCCTGCCCCTGTGGATTTTGCTATCTTTTCTTTCTAGTACCTTTTTTTTTTTTTTTTTTTTTTTTTTTTGGAGTCTCTCTCTGTCACCCAGGCTGGAGTGCAGTGGCCCGATCTTGGCTCACTGCGACCTCCGCCTCCCGGGTTCAAATGATTCTCTCACTTCAGCCTCCCAAGTAGCTGGGAATACAGGCACGCGCCACCATGCCCTGCTAACTTTTTTTGTATTTTTAGTAGAGACAGGGTTTCACCATGTTAACCAGGCTGGTCTTGAAATCCAGACATCAAGTGATCCGCCTGCCTCGGCCTCCCAAAGTGCTGGGATTACAAGCGTGAACCACTGCGCCCGGCCTCCAGTCACTTCCTATCCACATGACTGTTTGCCTAATTGAGATCATAATAGTGTGTGCAAGTTTGACCTTGCCCTTTTAATTTATCATTATGCTATAGTAATATTAGCATGGAGAAAATTACCAATAGGACTCTAAGGTCTGTCTAATATTCCATTATGTGAAAAGCATGATTTACTTAAGCATTTATTGGTGGAGAGCTGTATTGTTCCCTATTTTCATTCACAAATACTGCTGTGATAAGTACCTTTATTGAGAGATCTTGGCCTCCAAGCTCACTGATTCTTTAAAACATTTCCTTGAGGGAGAATGGCTGAGGTGAGGAGTAGGCAGGCTTTCTGAATTTTTCCTTTTTCTAGGCAAATTCTCCTCCAGAAAGGCTGCCTGACAGTGCATGGGGCTCTTTCTACAGCACCACGTTGCTTCCTGCTTCTCATCTGCCTGCTGACTCCAGAACAGGTAGAGACAAGCCCATGAGCCAAGCCAGGTCCCTGGGACAAACTGAGGCTCCATGCCTGCAGGAAGCGGCCACCAAGCCCAAAGATTCCCCTCTTCTGCTTACTCTCCCTGGCTGTCTCCCACCTCCCCGCTTCTCTCCCTCCTCTTACGGGGCTGCAGGTACCAGACCTCTTTGTTTGCTTTCATTCTGAATCCCTTCCAAAACCTGGCATAGCTCGACTAACTGTTGAATGTTTCTTGATGGACAACCAGGAATTCAGATCTCCTCTTCACACAGACACACACAGACACACACAGACACATACACACACACACACACACACACACACACACCTCACATTCATCAGTGCGGGCAGCCACCTTCACCAAGGACTGCTCCCGGCTTGCAGAGGTCGGTGCTGGAGAGTCCATGACAACCCTCAAAGCTGGGATGCCCTGGGAAGCAATTATTCAGCCTTCTCATGGAGCACATGGGGAAACTGAGGCCAAGGGAGGAGAAGAGACTTGCTCCAGCTTGAGAGAATATCCATCACCCAGGTAGGGGTAGTTCTACTAGCTCTGATCTCAGAGTGCAGAGTCTTCCCAGCTCTACAGTTCATTTCAATTAAACAAGTGTACTCCGCAACTTTTCATGAAAGACAGAGGCTTCCACGGAGGCAGCTCTCAAGGAGGCCAAATCCCACGCATCATTCATGCCCACAGGATGTTATTCATGGATAGAAACTTCTGTGTGCATAGACTTATCTTGTGGGAATGGGCAATGTGGCTTCCCTAACAGAAATCATTTTCCTTGGCCTCTGCAACCACAGCATCTGCTTGAATCTGGTTTGTGGCACTGAATGTAATGTTTGCTTTTCTTCATTTTCTGGAGTGGGTGACAGGTGCACTAGGAGGAACAGGAGATAAGCTGGGGTGGAAGTTCAGGGTGGGGCACTCAGAGGGTGTTGGCTTGCACTGAGCAACCAGGAACACCCTCCTGTGCTGTGTGAAGGAATGGGAAGAGGGGAATTGGATTGCACAGGAAATACCTTGAGACCCATGGTTGTGTAATGGGGAAAGCTTCTCCTGGGTTAGACCAATGGTTCCCTCCTGGGTACAATTTTGCACTGCCCCCCTCCCCCTCCCC